GTGGACTCTGGGTCCCATCCACCTTCCTCTGTAGCACGGAGTACACAGACCATAAATATTTCTAGGATAACGTTTTCTGCTAGAGACGGGAAGTTTGGGTTGGTTGAAGGGCTCTTCAATGCCATGGCCGACGTCTTGCTCAAGAGGTCTCCTCTTTCTGAGATAAGCATCTCCCTGACAATAAACAGAGGCAGGAAACCTCATGCCTGATTTGCTCTTGGTAACAAGGAGACGTCAGAACAACTGCGCCAGCTGCTTAATATGATAAATTTAAAAGAAGTTAATGACCAGCCTCGGAACCTAAAGGCTGTGTACAAGACAATTGTGATCTCCAGCTTGGAGGAAATCCAGCCCCGACTACCACGCGCTCAACAGATGTCTCCGGGGCACCTGAGCCCATCTCTGAGCCAGGAGCTGGGAGGTCACAGTGGACAGGACAGATGTGATGCCTGTTCTTCTCGACTTTGGGGGGGAGAAGGTGGATGAGGAACAACTGAATTTCAGACAGTGTGAGGGCCGTGAGGAGGAGATGGCAGTGGCTGTGACAGGGGACAAACTAATCCTTGGAAAGCAGGGCAGGCTGGTGGGGAGGGCTTCACGGAGGAGGTGACATTGCAGCTGAGACTTTCTGCTCCCCTGGCAGCGGGAGAAGAAAGGGTGCACCAGGCAGAGGGAGGAGCAGTTGCAAAGGACCTGAGCTGGGGTGATGATTGCTCATCCGAATAACGGGAAAGGCCGATATGACAGGGAGCTTGGGCAGCAAGGGGTAGGGAGTGGCTCAAGGGGCCTAAAGACACAGGCAGGGTCTGATCTCACAGGACCGTCCCCCATAATCCCAACAGCCCTGAGGTGACACTCGTCTACACGGGGGATACAGCCTATGACACGTGACCAAGGGCAGACGAGTACTTGTGACGTCAACCACACCTGAAAAGTGAATTTCGGATAAGTTAGAGAACAGTCACACACATTTCAGAAGGATTTTGCCACTCACAGACTCTCCGCAGGGTTGTGATGGGAGAGACATTTGCTTGTTTTCTCCGCAAGTGTTTATTGGGCACCTATTAGGGACCCGGCGTCAGGAGCACGATGCTGAGCACGTCCAGTGCGGTCCTGTCCTCTTGGGGCTACCAGTTCAATGGGGCAAGAGGGCAGGTGTTGAGCAAGTAATTTACACAACAGCGTGGCCAGTGTCACAGTGGAGGAAGTAGGAGCCTCAGCCTCCCTCCAGCTCTGGAGACCTGCACTCCATCCGTGCCGGCAGCGTGGCATGTCACCGGCCCCACACGTGCACCGAGTGCTTTGCACTCCGTGGCTCTGCTGTCCAAGGTGCCACGGTGCTTTCTGTGGCATTTGGCCATTTGAAGCTCTGGGACTTTTGTGTCTTGTGGAAAGAAAGGGCCACCTGAGATCCCTGCCTACGACTCTTGCTGCACTTCAAACACCTGAGTTTGGCCTGAGGCTAAGGGGGAAACTATCAGGGGACCGTCCCTCCAGAGTTGGGTGAACTGTGGCTCTGTCCCCACCTCAGTTCTCAGTTGTGAATCAAACCCATCCGCCTGCAGCGCTGTGGCTGACCCTTGGGGACTTTTTAATTGACACAAATGAAGTGGAGATGGGAATTGCGCATCAACTTTTAATGAGCCCGCAGGGGTCACCGAAAATCCCACAGCTCGTTCACTAAGAAACTTGGAATTGGCTTCCAGGGGGTGGCCACGGCGTGCAGTCTGCCAGGGTGTGCAGGCAGGTGTCCCGCTGGGCTCGTTAGCGCCACGGAGACTCTCGCCCTGTTCTCCTCCGCCGTGTCCTCCGGGAACGGTGCCCGGGGGCTTTGAGCGATGGGCACTGAGGGCTTTGGGGCGGGGCTGGGGGTGGCGGGTTCAGACAAATTCTGCTAATTGCCTGGTTTGGAGACCCCATGACATCACTGCAGTCGGATTGTCTGGGGGACTGTTGTTTTCTTCTTTAAACAGAGATCAGCTCCTCACCGGTGTGAATTGTTTGCCTCCCTTTGGGTTCTTAAACACAGATTACTAAGCAAGGTCAGACCTGTAGAGTCGCCGGGCAATTTCTTATGCAGCAATAGACAACTCACCCAGTCCTCACGGGGGTTTTCCTCCCACATATGAGAATCTCCACCCGGGACATACTATGGCCCTTGAACACTGGCGTTGTGCACCACTATTCAGGAAGCATTTGTGCTAAAAGCAAAAGCAAGGACTTAATAGAAAATATTTAGAGACATGTCAGACCCTTCTCTTCTCTGAGCCAAGGTCAACGCCAGACTCACTCATGGGGACGAGGACAGAGGCAGTATCTTCTACTCCTTCACAAGGCTCAGGAAGGCCTCTTTCTCACAGCGCCCTCTCTGATTCTAGTTTAATATCCATTTCTCTGGTTGATTCTGAAGCTGAGTTTAGTGCAAGATGATGCAAGATAAATTCTTTCTCTGAAATTACTATTAACAGTTATTTTATTACCTGTTCAAGCCAATTCTTGTAAACACAGACACACACACACACACCACACCGTGGCGGCCACATGAGAGCAGGCACAGTGTCAGTTCAGTGTCTTGCCATCTCCCTAACGTGATTGGCATCAAGCAGGCACTTTATTAACATGGTCTACGAAAGTTCTCTACCAGGTCCACTGTAGGAAAACACATCATTTGACCTGCTCTGGAGAATCCTAAAGACTGTGAAGCAGTAAGAATCACCAACAAACATTCATTGACCGACTCCTCGTCAGACACAGTGCTGTGGCCCGAACGTGCACGGTCTCCTTTTGTCTTTGCAAAACTGAGATAACAACTGTTGATGGATCAAAAGCTTAGAGAGCTTTAAAACAAAACAAACAACAACAACAAAAAAACAACTGGCCTCTGTCCCAAATGTAGGAAGAAGCACAGTTGGAATCTTGATCTTTTCTCTCTGATTCCAAAACAAGTTTTCTTTCTATTTAACCACGTTCATTTACCGCTGTTGAAAATACTCGCTTGAAAGAAAGATGAGAAGAATCGCTAACCATTCATTGCCTTCATATGTTCAGGCTGCTAAAACAGAATGCGTTAAACTGGATCATTTTAAACCGCAGAAATTTATTTTTCACGGTTCTGCAATCTCGAACGTCCAAGGCCAAGGAGCTGGGGGATTTGGTATCTGGCAAGGAGGTGCTTTCTGGGGTGCTCATAGGTGGCACCTTCGTGCTGTGTCCTCACATGGTGGGATGGGCGAGAACTCTCTGGGGTCTCTTTTATAAGGGCACTAATCCCATTCTTGGGGGCTCCATCCTCATGACCTACTCGCCTCTCCGAAGCCCCACTTCCTAATAACATCACCTTAGGGGTTAGGATTTCTACATACGAATTGGGGCGGACACAAACATTTAAACTACATTAAAAGCAACTATTTTGCATATTACCTGTCAATACTTAGCAACATTCACATAAAAATTTCATACAGTTATCGACATGGTGCGCATGTCATAAATGTTCTGCATGTTTCTACTTGGACAGCAAAGGAGGAAGCTCTCTGAGGAGGTGACATTCCGGTTGAGCCCTGGATGATGAGACTCAGTCACGAAACAGCTGGACAAGAGCACCCCAGGCACAGGGAACTGCACCGTGCAAAGGCCCTGAGACAGGAAGAGGCTAAATCTATTTACAGTTCAGAATCCAGACCAGGGTGGCCCAGTGAAGGGGCGGGTGGAGGTGGAGTTCAGGGGAGGGGAGACTTGAGGAACCAGCAGGACTCAGTGGTGCAGAGTCTCTTGGGCTATGAAAAGAGATGAACATTGGTAGCAGGATTTTATTTTGGGATATTCATTGAGATTGCTCTAATTCTCTTACCCCTCTTGCACGTCCAGGTGCCCCCACTGCTCTCAGAAAAAAAATCGCCTCCTATATGCAAAGCCTTGCATGGGAAGGGAGATGGTTCACTGAGCACGAATGTTAGAATTCTTGCCTTTGAGTGCCAGGGCACGCTCGTGACAGTCGAGGGAGAAGCGACTGACTTGAAAGGCAGCACGTGGCCGCAGCCAGACTCTGTGAGAGGCACTGGCAATGGCCACGTGGTAAAGAGCACTAACTGTGCACCAGGCGCAGCTCTGAGTCCTTTACATTTGGCCCTCAGGACTATCCTGAGGTAGGTACTATCGCTGTTCCCATTACTACAGTTGAGGAAACTGAGGCACGGAGAGGACAATCAACTTGTCCGAGTCACAGCACAGCCCAAGCAGCCAGGCTCCAGATCCCGTGCTTGTGGGGTGGGTGTTTGTGCCCAGAGGTCTGGCTTTGAATCTCCGGGGTCGAACGGGATGGCGCTGCCCCCACCCCAACCCGAGATGGGCCCCCCGGGGCCTGTGGTGGGAACGAAGGAGGGACGGGAGGTGACAGGGTGGGGAGGGGCCGCCCCTGACCCTGCCGTGGGAGCTGCCGAGGGGCTCGGTCCGTGTGTGCCGTCCAGGCCACCCGGGCAGCACCGGGGCCAGAAGAGGGAGGGAGGGGCTCCCTGGCGGTGGGGGAAGGGGCCACGGGTGGGACCACGGGGCAGGGGCAGGCACAGGGGTGGGACGTTGGCCAGAGCAGGAAGGGACCAACAATCTCAGAGAGGCTGCCAGGTGGAAGCTGCCGGCCTCCCACGGCGTGCTCTGTGCTGGGCAGGGGGCTCTGTCAGGGGGGCCGGGGAGGCACCTGCAGCCCAGATTGAGGGATCTGCCCCTACCGTTTTCCCTGCTGACACAGAGCCTCAGTATTGCCTGTTAAAAACCTTCCATAACCCTGGCCCCTCTCCTGCTTAAACACCTCCCTTGGCTCCCTATCGCCTACAGAGTAAAGTCCACACTAGGGTTCTCGGAGAACCCAGGATCTGCTGAGGGCCTTGTGGTCAGAGAGGCAGTGAGGATTTGGGGGTTCAGAAACACCAGCCCCGCCCCCACCCACACGCAGGCCCTGGATCTCGCAGTCCCCGCGCGCCCCCTGGCAGTTTCGGGTGAGGCTCAGCACAGGTGACAGCAGTTTTATTGCTGGGAGTCCGCACAGGCAGGTGGCGGGGTCACAGTGCGTGTTAAGCCTGCAGGGCTGGGTCACCGCGCGCCCGCGCCCAGCGGCTCCACCCGCAGCCAGAGGCCGCCCTCGGCGCGCAGGACCAGCTCCGGCTTCCTGCGCGGCTCCGTCTGCACCTTGTCGGGCAGGACGCGGAAGCGCAGCAGCGTGAGCGCCAGGACCACCTTCATCTCGGTCATGGCGAAGGTCTGCCCGATGCAGTTCCTGGGGGCGGACGGAGGTGGGGACAGTGACGGCACCCACGACCCCATCCGGGCCCCGTCGCGCCTGGATCCTGGCCGGGACCCCCACCCTCACCCCCAGCAGCCTGAATCAGGGGTAGAGAGGGGTATAACCGTGCCAGGGACCCCCATGTGGGCTTGCTCGTACCCCGACCCTGGTCCAGAACCCAGCCCCCAACGCACAGCAGCGGCGGGGGAGGGGTCTGAGCGAGCCGCGTCCCCTCTGGGACCTACACGACCGGGCAGTGGCCTTTGTCCGCAGCCTCGGAGGAGGAGGAGGCTCTGGCCATCTGCGTTTGCCCCTTTCCCGCTGTCGTGCCGGGGCCCCACCCACCACCCCACCTCACACCCCGCTGCCCTCACCTGGGCCCTGCCGAGAAGGGAACAAAAGCCAGAGGCGACCGCTCCTTGGCGTTTTCTGGGTCGAAGCGGGAGGGGTCATACACCTGGGGCGAGAGGGACACAGGCTCGCTGGGGGGGGGGGTCTCCCAGCACCGCCAGCCTCGGAGAGACAGACTAACGAGAGTGAGTGGGGGGGGGGGAAGAGGAGATCTCCCATTTCCCTGTGGAAGTCCCGCCCCCTCCTCTAGGACCCCTGGAATGGGCAAACATGGTGGGGGGGAGGTCAGTGAGCACCTCGGGGTCCGGCCACACAGCTGGGTTGTGATGGGTCCCGAAAATGCTGATGAGGCAGATGACACCTGGGCAAGAGGAGGGAGCAGTCAGGACAGGGCCCCACTGCCTGATGGGCCCCTCTCCCTGCCCAGGTTCCTCCTCCCCCTGCCCTGTGGGCACCTTTGGGGATGACCCGGCCATCCTGGAACACAATGTCCTGGGTGCAGCGACGGGAGATTATTGGGACTGCAGGATGCAACCGTAGACTCTCCTTAATGCACATGGTCAGGAAGGGCAGCTGGGCCAGGTCGTCCCTAAAAAACCCACCCCCTAAAACAATTATCCAGGGAGCAAAGACAGAAATCTCCAGCCACTATGTTTCCCACTGACACCTTTTCTCCCTATAACAAAATAAGCTCCACAGGAATCAAATATTAGAGAATTAGAAAATCATTCTCAGGATACTATATTTAAAAAAATGAAAGAAAGAAAATCAGAAAAAAATTAGAACAGCAGAGAATTTAAAAAGTACTGGAGAAAATTTAGCCAGGTATTTTAAAAAATATATTTCTAAGGAAAACACAACATCCAAAAGCTAACTACAAAAGTTAACAAATATACACAAAGATAAACAAAATACACTGTAAGAAACAAAATACACAGATCCAATGTTTTGCTCTTATTTATCATTGTACTTGAGATACTAGCAAATGCAATTAGGTAGGAAAAAAAGGAGAGTAATGCAATTTGAAATGTAGGGGTAAATGTATCATTTTGGCAGAAAGTGATTTTATGCTTATAAAGCACAAGAGATTCCACTAGGCAACTTTTATAAACATTGAAGATCCAGCAAAAGAGCTCCATTGTTTTCTCTAATCTTTCTTCTTTTTGTGTGGCTATTGAAAATGTTAGTACCTGATACAGTTAAATGTTTCAAAATTTGAAAACTATAAAACATCACCCACTTCTAAGCCACCCATTTCCCACATCCACAAACACAGGTTGCCTATGTCATTATTTTTTAATGTATTCCTCCATCACTACTTTCCTTTTATTTCAAAGTATTACAGGGTTACAAATCTTTTTGGTTGCATGGGTCACCTTTATAATGCTTGAGTCATGGTTATAAGTGTGCCTTTCACCCAGATAGTGTTCATTGTACACGTTAGGTAGGTTTTCACCCATCCCCTCCTCTCCCCTCCACACTGCTTGATTTCTGTTCAGTTTTACATCCCTCTGTGAACTTTTAAGCATTAAAAAAATAATATAGTAGCATACTATATACCATACATGCTATTCTGTGTCTTTTCTCATTTAACAGTATATCAATGTCTTCTTGTATATCTCCTGGGACTTGTATCAAAATAGGATTTTCTCTACTCTGGAGCTATAAAATAATTTTAACATGGTTTCTTCTAGCCCTTTTTAGAGTCTATTTTTATAAATTTCAAATATTTGACTTATGTGGGCATTATCTTTTTATAAGACGGGAGAAGCAGGTTCAGTTGACTTTCTTCTGGGTGTTCACCTGTTGTTCCGACACCTTTTATTAAATGATCTATAATTTTCCTATCAATGTGAGACACTATCTTTAGCATTTACTATGATCATTGAGCACAAAATTTATATGCATATATCATTAGATTTTATGTATAAGTAACGATCAGCTGGTAAAGATAATAAAAGAAAAGATGCTAATAATAATAATAATATAAAATACCTCAAACTTAGCAAGAAATGTAAAATCTCTATATTCCAAATGAACTTATAAATTTCACTCACGTCAAATAAAAGATACATTTCTCCATAGCAATGAAAGTATCTAACGGTTAGTTTAATGAAACATGCATAAAGTCTCTAAGCGAACATTTTAAACTGGATTAAAGGACTAAAGATTATTTGAGTAAATGGATATCAATTCCACACTCTAGAAGAGTATATATCAATATTATGAAGCAATGCATTTTCCACATATCTATCAGATATTCAAGTCAGCCAATAGGATATATTCACTTCCATTTAAAATCTACCTGATTTGGGGGAGAGAACTTGATAAACTTATTCTATATTTTTTCTGTAAGAATAAAAGGTCATGAAGAGCTAAGTCAATCCATTTGAAAATAAAATACTAAATAGAGAGGAATCTCTACCAAATTTTAAGACCTGCTACAAAGTCACAATAATAAAATTAGTGCGGCGCTGCTGCAAAAACAGAAAAACAGACCCATGGAACAGAACAGAGAGCTCGGAGGCAGACACGTGAATAAGTGAAAATATCACACTTCGCAAAGTAAGCTCCACAAAACCCTGGTCACAGATGGATAGGTTGACTATACAAGATACTTTAGAGAAGTTTGACTGTGTAAAAATTAACCAAAAGTACCACCCCCAAATTTAAAAAGCAACCTTTTGTAATACAAGACAGGAAAAAAAGATTAATTTTAATACACTTTCTTGAAAGTAAATATTTTAAAAGGACCCCAAGAAAAAGAGAGAAAAAAGATGACAACCACCCCCATAAAAAAAGTCTCATCAACCTATGCAAAATATGTTCAATCTTACTGTTATTTAGAGAAAATGCTGGTTAAAGGAAGAAATATGAAAGTTGGCAAAGATGTAAACTTCAATAGTATAATACTATTGGTGAAGGTAGGGGAAAGTTGGTGCAATCAAACTCAGGTAATAGAAATGGATTTGCAATTATCAGCAAAACTGCACAGCACAAATAGTCGTCATCTTTCATTAAGAGATTGCGCTTCTGGGAATTTGTCCCGCAAAGATGCTGCCACTTGTAAGCAACGATCACTGTACACACGCACTGACTGCACCGTGTTTAATTCAGCAAAAGTCTGAAACGATCCAAATATACATGAATCGGAAGATATTTAGACAAACTATGGTACACATCCGCACGATAGACTACTATACTGCTACCCAAAAGCAGAAATAAAGATGACTAGTCCTAAAAACACACTGAAAGATGGAAGGTAAATCGGTACAGTATATATTTACATATATGTGTAAATAACAAAGGGCAAAAAGCATTATGTGTATATATATGGAGATAGATAGATAGATAGATAGATAGATAGATAGATAGATAGATAGATAGATAGATAGCAAATCACTAGCTCTAGAGACCCCCCCCCCAGGAGAAAGGGAGGGGATTAGGTTGGGTGGGAAGAATACCAAGGATAACCCTAGTCTTCTCTGTAATGTCCCATTTAATGTAAGAGGATGTGTTCTCATAAATGTTTCTGTAATTTAACACTCATTTTCCCTGTGGTGTATATACACAATGAAATACTATTCAGCCTTAAAAAAAAAAAAAAAAAGGAAATTCTGTCATTTGCAACAACATAGATGAACTTGGAGGGCATCATGCCAAGTGAAATGAGCCAAGCACAGAAAGACAAATACTGCATGAACTTACTTACCTGTGGCATCTGTAATGATCAAACTCATAGAAATACCATCTCATATAGTCACATTTTCTCAGCAGCCCAGATGTTTTTGCCCAAAAAGCTTGCAACCTTTCCCCTGCTAGCCAAGCTGTGTCCTAAGCCCTGCTTGTGGTCTCTGCTCCCATTTCCACTAAGTGATAGTGGCAAAATCAGAAGAAAAAAAAAATCTCCCCCTTCCCCACCCGGCAGCAGAGCCAAGGAGAGGGGCTCGGGGACAGGCCGTGAGGACCCGCACTCACCACTCAATCTCTTCAGGCTCACGGCCCCTCAGCAGCTCCCGCACCTCCTGCCGGCAGCGCTCCTGGTGCTCCGGGTGCCTCGCGAGGTGGTACAGGACCCAGGAGAGACCACTGGCCGTGGTGTCGTGGCCTGAGGGGCAGCCAGGCAGGCTGGAGTCTCTGGGCTGCTTCAGCACCAGGGTGTGGACAGCGCCACCCATGGGGGCTCTCAGGGAGGGTGGGAGAAGGGCGGGGATGGGCAGAATGGAGGGATCCAGCTCCACCCATCCAGTCCCTGGGCTGGAGAGACCCCCGTCCCCACTACAGTCCCACACCGGGACCCTCACCCTCAAACATGAAGGTGTCAGCCTCCGCTCTTATGTCTTCATCTGATAGCTCCTTCCCGTCTTCATCCTGGACGGAGAAGCCAAGACCCCCCCAAACCACACTCGTTCTGTCGGCTCCTGGGTCTAACCTGAGACAGTCTCAAAGCCGCATCCTCCTTGCAGAAGCCCGAGCCCACCCAGCACTCCTAGACGTCCCCCAGTCACCATTGCCAGAGCCCGCGCCCACAGCCTTCCTCCCTGGCTTCCTCGCCTCCTCCTCCGCGCCTGGGGGGAGGGGCCAGTGATGCAGGAAAGCGTTTATGCTGCTGCATGGTGACAGCTTTCTGCGGGAAAAGTTCCTGGCAGCCTGGGTCACAGGATGATGAAACGGCCATTTGCCTTGGAAGCCAGAGATTCGGTCTCGCTCCAAAGATACTTGCTCACATTCTAGAGCCACAAATCCAGGGAACCTTGTCTGCCTTGGAAACATTCGGATTGTAAACCTGTGCACTTTGGCATCTCACTGGAGAGGATTTTTGTTATGCTTCAGAGCATTAAGAAAAGTGATGTTTCTCTTGCTTTCTCATCCTCTCTCTCTCTCTCTCTCTCTCTCAGAAGGGGGAATGTGCCAGGTGCCCTATATAAGTTGCAAGACTCCTAACACGGGGCCCCTGTCCTATGGTGCAAACTCAGCTGCACGTGCAGCTGGAGGCGTTGCGTCACCCTCGGAGGAATCCGGGACTGGGAGCCAGCGCCGCGACCCAGCTCTGGGAGCTGTCGCTGCCGTGAGTAAGAAACGGGCTTCTCTGATCTGGGGCTTGCGTCCGTCAGAATCGGTATAGACATAGACAAATACATAGATGCACACATAGAAACAAAGACATACACAGTAGACACAGACACAAAGATATAGACACCAAACATAGACACAGAAACACACATAGACACAGATAGACACACATAGACACAGACATACACACATAGACACAGACATACACACATAGACACAGATATACACACATAGACACAGACATACACACATAGACACAGACATACACACATAGACACAGACATACATAGACACACACACGAAGGTAAAGACACAGATAAACATACAAACACATAGACACAAAGACTCAGAAAAAGACATAGACAAAGACACATGGACACAGACGTACACACAAACACACACCTATAGACGTAGAGACAGACGTAAATGGAAACACATAGAGATAAAAGCCGAGTGGAAGCTCAGACTCTTCACAGTTTCAGACTCAGCGTCTCTGCATCCTGAGAGTGTCATCTCAAATCCTGTGTCTGACCTGTTCCTCCTGTTCTCAAAATAAAGTCCACGGCTCCCCAGTGCCCTCTGGATCAAGTCCTCAAACTTCGATATGAATAGATTCTCTCTCTTTTGCTTTTGTAAGCAAGGTCTTGCTGTGATGCCCAGGCTGGAGCGAGGGGGCCACTCACAGGTGTGACCACGGCACACGACAGCCTGGGCCTCCTGGGCTCAGGCGACCCTCCTCCTCCTCGGCCCCCCGAGGAGCCGGGCCAGCAGACGAGCACCACGGCACGGGCGCCGCCCGAACGCTCCAGCTCCGGTCCCAGGCGGCCCACCTTGCTCAGCAGGAGCACGTCGATGAAGTCCAGAGTCTTGGCCTTGGCCTTGGCCTTGAGGGAGTCGTCGCCGCCCTGGCCGGGGAGGGTGCTGCGCCGCTCCTTGATGACGGCGTCCGTGAAGTCGTGCACCAGGCGGCAGGCCTGGCGGAAGCGCCGCCCGTCGCGGGTGAGAGAGTACAGGAAGTCCGTGTGCACCAGGAACTGCTGGTTCCTTTTTTCGATCAGGGCGCTGAGCTCCAGGATGGCGGCGATGTACTCACTGGGCTTCCTGCAGGACAACGGAGTGGGGAGGAGGCGACTCAACTCACCTGAACCCCGGGAGCGTTTCCCGCCAGCAGCCAGGACCCCCCTCCCGGCGGGAAAGCGAGTCTCCGGGAGCCGACGGCCCCACAGGTACACAGCGGGCGTCAGCCGTGACACGTGACCCTCCAGACCCCCCTCTCTGCCTGCCTCCACCTCTGCGAGCTGCCACGGGCCACTAGGCACCCAGAGCATCGCGTGGACACGTGCCTGCTCCCCTCTGTCCCCCGCCCAGTATCCAGTCCTGGTCCTCCTCCTTCCTGAAACCCAGCACACAGCCCAGACCTTGTCATCTTCCACCTGGCCCGTGCCCAGACCCACCCTCGCCTCTTGCACCCAACGCCAGCTCCACCGAGTGTCTGCATGGCAGCCAGCTCCCCACAGAGCTCAGCTCTGACCGCGCCCGCTCAAACTCCTCCAGTGGCTCCCCGGGAAGCTCACGATAAAGTTCATGCCGCTTTGCCCGGGTTTTCAATGTCCTTGAGATCCAGCCCCGGTCCACCTCCACAACCTCAGACTAGTGCCTGCCGAAAGTGTTCTTCTCATCCTAGCCTCCCTGCCTCCACTCAGCTCCAACTACCTGTAAAACCCACACAGTCTCTCCTGCCTTCCCTGTCCCTCAGAGCAGAGCTATGACACAACTCCTCCAGGAAGACACTTCAGCCCTCCCAACCCACCCGCTCTCTTGGGTCCATGGCCAAAGTCCCCACGCCCCGGGCAAGGACTCACTCCTGGCAGTGGCTGTCGAAGCTGAAGACGCATTTCTGCAGACTGTCCAAGGTCATGAGGCTGATGTGCTCGAACATGTCCAGACGGGCGCTGCCCTCCGAGGCCAGGCGCTGCCACTTGGCCTGGCCAGAGAAGGGCACGGAGCTGGGGTGGGCACCTGACTCCCTTGGGCCCCTCCCCAACCCCAAGCACCAGGATGGACTCCCCAGAACCAGCCTCCTGGCCTCTGCCCCAGGAGCCCATCTCCAGGGAGAACAAGGGTTGGGGCGGGGGGAGCAGGAGCTGTTATTACTTGGAGATGCAGACCCAAGGCTGGGAGTCAGGAGACCCGGGTTTCAGTTCCAGCTCCGCCCGCTGTGCTCTGAGCGCCCTCGGCCGGGTCCCGGCCCTCCCCTAGCTCCCACCTGTCAGATCTTCAGTGACAGCTAAGTTGGCCTGCTTTGGTGCCAGACAGGCAAACCAGGTTGGCACCCCTGCTCCACCACTTCCAGCTCACTTATTAGCTGCGTAGACTTGGGCAGACTCCCAGTCGCTCTGGCCTTCCATTTTATCATCGATAATGGGGCAAAAATAATCTCTCCTTCCCAGAGCTGTCGGAGTCAAATTACAAAATCTATGCTCACTTCATGGAATTGGTGCAAGGCATTGTCTCGGGATTAGGGAGAGTGCACCGTAAATGTCAAGTTTCCTTGTCTCCGTAGCTACAAACTGCCCTGAGAACGCCCCTGTGTTGGGAGAGGCAGTCCTCCACGGGCCCGGGGCCGCCTTGCTGGGCACGCCAAGGATGGGAGGCCCTGCCGTCCGTAACCCGAGTCACTTGTCACACTCGTGTTTGCAGAGAACAGCCTTGCGGGATGAGGTGATGACTCCCCCACCCCGGGCACAGGTCAGGCTTGTGTCTGCCGGCTGAGGGAGCAGATTCGCTCAGCCCAAAGCTCCTCCCAGGCAACGCAATAGACTCCTCGAGCAGGCATCCATCAAGGCCCCCTTGCGTCACCCCCCTGGGACTTGGGTGGCTGGGAGAAAGGATGCAAATGAACAAGAAGCACATGCTGCTTGCAGTGCCAAGCGCAACAAACTGCCCTTTGTCTCTGACCCTGGAGCCTCTTGACTTCTGGAAGAATCCATGAAACAGTAACAAGATAACTTATCAGCTTCCAGGTTAAAAGGTCCTAGGCCTTCAGAAAACCCTGATCGCCAATCCCTCACTTCTCCCCATCTCCACACCCTTTGCCATGTTGTTTTCCAGCAACTTCCACAAAGCCATGGAGCCTGTGTTACCCCTCTTTGATTCTGTGCTGGGCTTTTGGCTTCCTATGGCCAAATACAGTGTAGACGAAATGAAGATGAAGATGGAACAACTCTAATATGCCTAAGACTCCAGAGGCATCGCAACCTCCTCTCACTCCCTGGGAGCCCCGTCCCTGCCACGCGAGCAGCGCTGGGACTCCGTCCGCGGGAGCGATCACATGCAGGGCGGTCCGGTCGCCCCGCTGAGGCCACCCTAGGTCAGCCCGAGGAGACCCAAGCCCACGCCTGTGAGCGACTGAGCCAGGATCAGCGAAGCCGCCTAACGCAACCACAGCTGGTCACGCGCCCTGAGACGTCCCTTCTGCGCCCAGAACGCGCCGGCTGTCCCGTGTACGTAGCTGCGCCCACAAACCCTTACTGCGCTAAACCAACACACAGCCGGTGCTCAGCAACAGCTACCATGCAGTCATCGTCATCGTTCTCTTGAGTTGACAGGGCTTCGGTGACACACACCTAGGAACTGACACCTTCTGAGCATCTACCCTGTACCAGGGACACGCCCCCATTACCACCTTGTACGCAGGGGTTACATCCCCATTTTACAGATGAGGAAAGCAAGGCTCAGAGAGGAAGAGCAATGACCCTAAGCCGCCCAGTAGACCCAAACTCCCAGACCAGACCTGTCTGAGGCCCCGCTGACCCCAAGGCTCCAGCTGGGACCCTGTGCTCAAGGGACTCACGAGCATGATGTTCACGCTGTCTTTGAAAATCTCCACGTAGGGCTTCAGGATGTTGAAGTGGAAGGCGGGCGTCAGCATGCGGCGGTGGCGGCTCCACTTGTCACCTCCACTGAGCAGGAGCCCGTCCCCTAGGAGGGCAGCCAAGGGCCGTGGTCGAAGGCGGCACCTTCTCCTGCCCACCAGGCTGTCCCCTCCCCTGCAGCTACTCACCCAGCCAGGGCTTCAGGAAGCCGTAGAAGACCACGTCCTTGGGTGCGACGGCGGCTGACAGGAACGAGGACCATCAGGGACATGAAGGGGGGAGGGGAGGTGCGCAGGGGGGGATGGAGGCTCCCGGCCAGGGGTTCCCACTGCCCCCTCCAAGCCCGGCCAGCAGGGAGGGGCGGGGCAGAGGAGGCGGGAGGGTGGGGGCGGGGCGGGCCAGAGCAGGCTGCAGTGGCGCAGTAGAGCAACGACAGCCCCGACACAGCCCCACGCGACCCAGCACAACGCGACACGGATCCTCAGTGGGGCAACACGCTCTGCGACACACAAGCACGGCTCTGAGACAGACAAAACGCCTGCGTGGGGACGTAGGACACCCCGTCTGCCACAGCACTCTCTGACACGCCCTGACATGGACCTGGGACGTGGGACGTGGCCCTGACGTGTGAGCACGTGACAGCCCCGACCGTGACACAATGTGTTCTAACATGGGCCTGCGGGGGTCTGACATGACCTAAGCGTGTCACACGTGTGGTCCCCAGATAGGATTTAAATCTGGCCCCTCGGAACATGCCTCGTCTCGCAGAAGCGCGCTGGGCTCCGGCCTTGGACGGGCTTCACACGCATCCCAGGCGGGACCAGCTGGGGAACGACGACCTCAACCAGCTTCTAGACCAGATCCCGAAACCTGGAGACGGCTGGCTGTCCTTGGCCACGGCCCAGCCCCCGCCACGACCAGCACCACGTGACCCCGGGCGTAAACGCGCACCGGGCGTGCCCAGGCCCCGGGGGTGAGTGCACGCGTGACAAGACGCAGGCTTCCAGCAGACACGCGCCCTAGCAGACGGCACGCAGACACGCCCGGACACGCGGCTGCATCTTCCCCCGTCCCTCCCGTGCACGCCCGGGTCGCGGCGTCTACCTGGGGCGCAGAGCACGGGCCTGACGCAGGCGGGGTGGAAGACACGCAGGATGGCGTGTGCGGGCCCCACCCACCAGAGGCACGCGTCCCCGAAGGCGCGGGCCAGGCCCTGTGTGCACAGCAGGCCTTCCTCCGAGCTCTGGATCTGCGGAGCAGCAAACGCAGCCCAGCCGTGCTCTCCCGGCTTCCGGAAGGACGGACTCGCAGGGAGAGGCCCGGGGACTCCGGCGCCTCCCACACCCCTCCCTGTGCAGGTCGACCCCGGGACCCTCCCCACGCCCTCCGTGCTGACCCCGTGGGTCTGTCGGTTCCAGGGACACAAGTGGCCCTTCCCCACGCGGTCCCCGTCGCCACAGCTGCCCGGCTTCTGCTCCCTCCCGGCTCCAGGTGAGGAGACCGAGGCTCTGAACTCGAGTCCCCTGCCCGGGGTCTCCCTGCAGGCAGCGGCACGCCCGAGACCCGAGCCCGCGACGCGCTGAATCCAGGGCCCGAGTCTTTGGCCGTCAGCCCGATCTTGCCCCCAGAGCAATAACCCCGGAAGCCCCGCGCGTGCCAAGACGGGACAATCACAGTCGCGGTGATGGATGGAAACTAAGTCCCGTGACTCACGCCGGGACAACTAAAGCGCACCGTGGCTCATCCGTGGGAACTCTGGGAGAAAGGGGAGCTTTCCCGCAAAGACCCACCGCCAGGGACTCGTCGTTGACACCAAGAGGAAGGGCCGCCTGAACAGAAGAGTGACGCAGAGGAAGGAAAACCCAAAGGGGACAGATCGCCTGTGACACTGAGACCTGGATCCGGCCGTGCCTGAAGGCCACCCTCCCTGGAATGTGCACTCGACAGATCCCCTGTATTTGCTTAGATGGGGTTGAGTTTCCGTCACTCACACGTAAGAGACCTCAGCGGGCAGACAAAGCCGGGCCCACCCAGAGTCCCAGCATTTTGGACTCAGAGCCACGATCTCCATTGCTCTGGGCCTGGGGCCGGGCCAGGCTGATGCCAGGCCTGGCAGGGGAACTCAGACACCAACAGCGCCCACTGCATGACCCTGCCCTCCTCTCTGGAAAATTCCTACGCCTCATTCCAGCCTCAGCTCCGGGAACTCCTCCTCCAGGAAGGCCGCCAGCCTGGCCCAGCTGTTCTCCTCTGAGCTGTCACAGCCCATCCCCCTCCGGCCCCTCCCTGCCCGGATGAACTTGGAGACGTCTCCGTGCGCCTCCCTCTCCGTGCGCCTGAGGGTTCCCACAGGACGGGGCCCTGGATCGAGGCCTCCCAGGGCCCGGAGGTGGCCGGAACACGAGGGCAGAGGGCAAGACAGGCCGTGCACGGAGGGGACACCGAGGCGGGGGTGGGTGAGTACATGAGAGCAAGACAGCGGTGGCTGGGAGAGAGGAGGGAAGGAGGGGCTGGGGCCGTGCAGGGGACGAGAGGGAGCTCAGGGAGGAGGGCTGGGAGCCTTGGGTGTGCACGGCGCCCACCACCACGAGCCCCGCAGGGTACCTGAGGCGTTGAGGACAGACCGGATAGCGTCAGGGTGGCACAAAAACATGATGGGTGTCACGGGGCCCATCCAGGACGCAAAGCCCTGGGGGTAAGTGGCCACCAGCTGAGTCATCACCTTCATTCCCTGCTCTGTGGGGGGAATCTGCAAGCGAGACAGGGCCGTCACCTCCTGTAATGGTTAAATTTACTGTGTTTTCCCCAAAATAAGACCTACCCATAAAATAAGCCTTAGCAGGATTTCTAAGCCTTTGCACAATAGAAGCCCCACCCCGAAAATAAGCCCTACTGATGGGCGAGGTTACGCAGCGCGTCTGCACAACCCGTGCATTTCGTCGCAGAGCACTAAAGAAGGCATGACCCGAGGCAGGTCTCCACCTGCCCTCCTGTCCCGGCAGGTGCACGTGGGCTTCAGGGCCTCCTGTGGAGAGGGGTCTGCACCCTCGGGACCTTCCAGGCTCGGCTGACCGCAGGGGGGCGGACGGGAGCTCTGACTGCCCATCGGGCCCCTGGCTCCCTCCCGCGAGCGCGTTCTGCAGCCCAGGCTCTGAGCGCAGCGTGTCCCCCGCACCCTCCCTAAGAACGCCCGTCGCCCCTGCCGTTACAGGTGAGCAGGCTGAGGCCTCGGCACCGCAGGACAGAGCAGGTTCTGGTCAGGGTCAGAGGGCAGGGGCAGGAGGGGCAGTGGCGGCTCCCGAGAGGGGACGTGAGTGGCGACGGTCGTGCAGGTTGCACAGCGGGGCCCGCTGGGACGTCCCCGTGGGGAAGAGGACGGTGCCCAGGAAGGGCAGGGGTGGGACACTGTCCCCAGCTGTCTTCCGGCCCAGCGGTGGCCCTGTGTGTTTGGGGTGGGCTGGGGCGTCCCAGCTAATCCCTGCGGGAAGTGGCAGCCCAGAGACACAGGACAGGGCCGGCAGGGACAGACCCTGCACGGTGCCCTCAGGAGCCCTCCAGCCCCGCCGTGCAGAACGGGGCACCAGGGCCCTGCCCTGTGCAGCCTCCCCACGAGCCCCCCGGTGCCCCAGGGGGAGACAGGCGGGAAGAGGACGCTGAGCAGGCCGGGTGGGAGGACAGGGAGGGGACAGAGGCCGGACGGCACAGCAGAGCAGTGAGGCAGCGAGCAGGGGGGAGTGAGCCGCCGTCCTCGCTTCTCTGCCGTCCCGACCCCAGCCCACCTCCACCCCTCGGCCTCGTAGCCCCTTCCCGGCCCTGAGGAAGTCCCCGCCCTGACCCCCAGCCCCATCCTGCTGCCACACTCACCAGGCCCTGGTGCCCCCAGAACCAGCTGCGTTTGGGGGGCTGCGGGAAGCAGCGGAGGCGGCGGCAGGTGGCGTGGAAGGCGCAGGCCCAGGCCAGGACGTGGGCCAGGAGCCAGGAGGCCCCGAGCAGCAGCAGCAGCAGCCACGGGGAGGCGGCCCCCGGCCCCAGGCCCAGCCAGGACAGGCTCAGCTGGGGCATCCTGCAGGGCAGGCGGGTGCAGGGGCAGCGCCTGAGGCCCAGGGGAGGGAAGGGGCGCCAGGCCCGGTGTAGGGGGCGGGGGTCTCAGAGATGGGGACGCAGGGGCTGAGAGCTGAAGTCCAGAAAGGCCCAGCCAGAAGCTGCAGCCAACTGGCTTGCAGCTGTGTGGTGAGCACCCAGAAAGGGACAGAGAGTTCTGAGGACAGTCCAGAAAGGCCCAGCTGAATCACTGGGACAGTGCCAGGGGCTCAGTTACCAGGAAACCACCATTCCCAGGGCCAGCTCCCCGGAACCCCCCAGCTTGGGCAGGCCCTCTCCATCCCCGGGATGGGGACGGCCCCCAGGCCCACCCCCCAAGCCCGGCACCTTCTCTCAGGAGCAGCGTGTGCACACAACCTCCTCTTCCCCTCTGGGCGGTCTTTGTCCCTCGTCCCTGATAAAGGGTGGCTGCAGGAGGGCTGGGCTGGGCTGGGCCAGGCTGGGCCGGGCTGTGCCCTGGCAGAAGGCCAACACATGGAGCAGCTGGGTGCAGGGGAACTAGCTCAGGATGACACAGCACAAGCACTGAGCCCTCAGGACCTCCCACGTGGAGAATGAAGGAGAGCTGGGGGTGATCAAAGGTGACTCTGAGCCCTAAATGTTTACAGTTGCCGCCATGCTGTGGGTTGAGACATGACCGCTAGGAGCAGGAACAAGGAATCCGGCCTCCCTGGGAGTTACTGAGGTCAGAGCCCGGCATGCAGAGCCTGGCTGCGAGCCCAAACCTGGAGGCCGGGCTCAGCGTCCAAGGACAGAGCAGAGACGTGGAGGGTGAGGCTGAGAGGGGCCGTGCGCACACGGGGTCCAGGCCGGGAGGGCAGAGCCAGGGGACCCTGAGTGGAGTCCCCGGGCCGCCTGTCCTTGCTCTGACTGTGGGCGGGGCCGGCCAGCTGGGCTCAGTCTCCCCATCTGGGAAATGGGGTGCCGGGTGAGAGACTTAGAGGCGGGGACAGGGGAGAGCTGCAGAGATGAGGGAGCCCCACAAAGAGGGAGTGAGGGGAAGGGACTAAGCACCAGCACTTGAGCCGCCGTGGGCCAGTGCTCTGCTCTGTGCAAAAGCCTGCATGGAACGTCCTCCTACTGTGTGCCAGCGCTCTACGTAAGTGGCACCTACTGTGTGCCAGGCGCACTATATAACGTGCATTTACCCTGTGCCAGGTAATCCATGTAAATCTTTATATTTACTATGTGCTCTTCACAAAGTGTGCCTACTGTGTGTTGAGCACTATACATAAAGTGCACCTACTGTGTGTCGGGTGCTCTACATAAAATGCACCTATCCTGTGCCAGGTGCTCTCCATAAAGTGCACCTACTACGTGCCAGGCAGTCTCTCTAAAGTGTGCCTACTGTGTCTTAGGTACTCTATATCAATCCAGTTTATTTGTGCGGGTGCTCTATATATACAGCAGAAGGTCACGCTCTACCACGTAGATGTCTAACCACATCCGTATCTTTCTTGATTATGTGTGCAACTATTGCTATAAATATGAAGTCTATTGAAAAGTGAGACAAAATACTTCTAAGTTATTTTCCAACAAAGTGCCATTTTTAAAAATAAAGAATAGCTTGAATAATGGCCAGCAAATATATGAAAAAATGCTCAACATCTCTAATCATCAGGGAAATGCAAATCAAAACAACAATGAGATATCACTTAACTCCAGTGAGAATGGCCTTTATCAAAAAGTCCCAAAACAGTAAATGGTGGCGTGGATGTGGAGAGAGAGGAACACTCTTACACTGCTGGTGGGACTGCAAACTAGCACAACCTCTGTGGAAAGCAATATGGAGATACCTTAAGGAGATACAAGTAGAACTACCATTTGATCCAGCAATCCCATTGCTGGGCATCTACCCAACACAACAAAAGACACTCTATAAAAAAGACATCTGCACTCAAATGTGTATAGCAGCACAACTCACAAATGCAAAGATGTGAAAACAACCCAAGCGCCGATCAATACACGAGTGGGTTAATAAAATGTGGTCTATGTGTACCACGGAGTACTATTCAGCTATAAGAAACAGTGGCGATATAGCACCTCTTGTATTTTCCTGGATAGAGCTGGAACCCATGCTACTAAGTGAAGTGTCCCAAGAATGGAAAAATAAGCACCACATGCACTCACCAGCAAATTGGTTTCACTGATCAACACCTAAGTGGCCATATAGGAATAACATTTGTCAGGTGTCGGGCAGGTGGGGGGGAGGGGCATACACATACATAAGGAGTGCAATGATGTGCACCATCTGGGGGGTGGACACACTTGAAGCTCTGACTCTGGGGGGAATGGGGGGAAGGCAACACACATAACCTAAACATTTGTAACCCCATAGTATGCTGAAATAAAAAAAAAAGAATAGCTTGAATACTTGACACGAAGATTTTTCTAAACCACAAACTGTTGTTTCATAGCATGATTTAAAGTCACGGAAAGATGTTCACAACATATTGTTATGTGAATAACAAAAATTAATTGAAGGCCGGGCGCGGTGGCTCACGCCTGTAATCCTAGCACTCTGGGAGGCCGAGGCGGGCGGATTGCTCGAGGTCAGGAGTTCAAAACCACCCTGAGCAAGAGCGAGACCCCATCTCTACTATAAATAGAAATAAAATTAATTGGCCAACTAATATATATAGAAAAAAATTAGCCGGGCATGGTGGCGCATGCCTGTAGTCCCAGCTACTCGGGAGGCTGAGGCAGAAGGATTGCTTGAGCCCAGGAGTTTGAGGTTGCTGTGAGCTAGGCTGACGCCACGGCACTCACTCTAGCCTGGGCAACAAAGCGAGACTCTGTCTCAAAAAAAAAAAAAATTAATTGAATATATGTATGATAAAATAGCATTTTTTGTTAAGGTAAAACTCACCATTTCAACCATTTTAAAGAGGACAGTTCTGTAGCATTTAGGGCAGTCACAATGTTGTGCAGCCTTCAACACCGTCTAGAGTGTTGGACATTTTTATCATCTCAAGAAGAAACCCTGTCCCCATTAATAGTCACTTCCCATTCCCACCTCCCCGCTGCTCCTGGCAAACACCAAACTGCTTTCTGTCCCTACGGATCTGCCCATTCTGGACATTTCCTGCGAGTGAATCATATACTATGTGACCTTTTGTGTCTGACTTCTTCTACGCAGTATAACGCATTCGAGGTTCATCCGCGCCATAGTGTCCGTACTTCATTCCTTTTATGGCTGAGTGATATTCCCTTGTAGGGACGGAGCACATTTTCCTGATCCGTTCATCCGTTAATGGATACTTGGATTGTTCCCGCCTTTGGCAATTGTGACAAGGGCTGCCATAAACATCCACATACAAAGCTTTTTCTTTGAACACCTGTTGTTAATTCTTTTGAGCAGTTCCTAGAGTGGAATATGGGCTCATGGAATAGTCATGTGACGATTCTGTGTTTCACTACTCATGAACCTGCCAACTGTTGTCCACGGCACAGGCACCATTTCACACTCCCACCAGGAATGTCCGAAAGTGTGAATTACTCCACACCCTCACCAATATCTGTTATTTTCCCTTTTTGGGGGATTCTAGCCATCCTAAGTGTTTGCAAAGTGGCATCACATTGTGGTTTAAATCAGAATCTCCCTAATGGCTAATGACATGAACAGCTTACCGTGTTCTTCTTGGTGGTGTTCAAAACACCATTTTAAACAGAAAATTACATGTAAATGCAATTCATTGGGACGTGAGTGACATTTTCATGTGTAAAAAGATTGCATATAAATTTAAAAACTGGAAGTACATGTGGGAGAATAAAAAATGATTATTTTCTCACATTAAGATTAGGGGTGGTTTTTATTTCTTGCTTTGCTTACTTATACTTTCTCCTATGAATATGCATTTTTTTGTGATAAAAGCATTTAAAATTTTAAATCAGCACTCTAAAGGCAAAGAAAAACAAATGTGACATTCAGCTTAGAATATATGAGATATTTTTTCTTTTTTTTTTTTCTTTTAGCATATTATGGGGATACAAAGTTGAAAGTTTCAAATAATGCCCTTGCCTCCCCTCCCCTCATGAGTCTGAGCTTCAAGTGTGACCATGCCCCAGACGGTGCACATCCCACTCATTCATTATGTATGTGCCCGCCCCCTCCACCCCCTCCCGCCTGCCCAATACCCAATTAATGTAGTTCCTATGTGTCCACTTAGGTGCTGACCAGTTAATACCAATTTGCTGGTGAGCACATGTGGTGCTTGTTTATTCATTTCATTTTGCGGAATAATTCATTTCTTATTTTTCAGAAATTCATGCTCCCAGGCCCCCAATCTGTATCACTGAGACCCTGGACTCTGTGACCCATGGAAGTCCCTGAACTCCAGTCCCGAGAAGGGGTCAAGCCTAGGATGGCCGCTGTCCCTGGTGCTGATGGGAGTGGCTCATTCCCATCCTGCCCTCCTCTCATTATTGAAAACCCCACTTCCCGACCTCCACTTCCTAGAAAATCTTCCTGAGAATAAAATCTGGGTTGCACCTCCCTGGGAAGAAACGTGGGGTTTCGGGGGTTTTTTTTTGTTTTCTGTTTTGTTTTGTTTTTTTCAATTCAATTCAAAGCTTCAGGCCAGCTTTGTCCCAAAAGCCCTTGTAGTTTCTCAGATGTAACAATGGATATTTTTAAATGTATTAAATATACTAAGGAGTTTTCTTCCATAGCAGGTTGCCATGCTTTCCAAAGGTTAAAATTACCTTCTGTGATTTTAGGGTATTTTAAAATATAGCATGTGATGCAAAAAGAAATGAAAGGGATGAAACCAACCCTCATGGACTACTTACTGATGCTTAGCAGATTCGGCTCAGTTACTTTGCATGGATTCTCTTGCTCAGTGCTCACAACGACCCAACAAGGCAGATGCTATTATATAGCACAGAAACTGTCATACACTTAAACACGCGGTTTTCCCCAAGCCAAACAGCTAATATATAGCAGACTGGTATTACGATCTTGACAGTACGAGACGATGCGGATTGTCTTAGTCCACTCAGGGTGCTGTAACGAAGTACCTTGGACTTAGTAACTTATAAACAACACGCATTGATTGCTCACAGCTCTGACAGCTGGGAGGTCCGAGATCAAGGCACCCCGGTACATCTCATGCCTGGCGAGGGCCTATTCATCATCGATAGCATCTTCTCTGTGTTTCCCACGCGGTGGACGAAGAGAACGCCCTTGCTCAGGTCTCTTTTACAATTTCATTTATGAAGGCAGAGCCCTCGTAGCCTAATCATTTCCCAAAGGTCCCACATCTTAAGGCCGCCGCATTGGAGACTAGACTTCACCTGTGAATTTGTGTGTCGGGGCGCAGGGACATTGAGACCATAGCATGGATCCCAGATCATCTGCCCCTGCAGCCAGCTACCCGCCCCATGCCCTGGCTCCCCTAGAGAGCAGCCCCTGCCTTCAGGTCCGAGATGAGCCCCAGCGACCACATTAGTCTCACGAGGAGCAGGAAGGAGGAGGAAGACGGCTGGCAGGCAGAGTATCCCAGCCTTCTCTCTCTCTCTCTTTTTTTTTTAAGACAGAGTCTCGCTTTGTTGCCCAGGCTAGAGTGAGTGCCGTGGCATCAGCCTAGCTCATAGCAGCCTCCATCTCCTGGGCTCAAGTGATCCTCCTGCCTCAGCCTCCCGAGTAGCTGGGGGTACAGGCATGTGCCACCACGCCCGGCTAATTTTTTCTATGTATATTAGTTGGCCAATTAATTTCTTTCTATTTAGAGTAGAGATGGGGTCTCACTCTTGCTCAGGCTGGTTTCAAACTCCTGACCTTGAGCGATCCTCCCGCCTCAGCCTCCCAGAGTACTGGGATTACAGGCGTGAGCCACCGCGCCCTGCCCCAGCCTCCTCTTAAAGAAGGTGACCAGAATCACCACCACCTAATCTTTGACTTCTCCACATGAGACGGGTCACAGTCATTTAAACAATCCAACCTCAAGAAAGGCTATCCAGTATAACCTGGGTTTCGGGCTGCTGTACGCTTACACATAAATTGGGCAAAAGTGAATATCTGAGTGCACAGCTAGCGGTCTCTGGCACGGCCCGCTCCATTGGCTAGAAACCGTCCAATGGAGACTCTCCTTCCTACGCAAGGACACACTCGTGAGATCCCCAAAGGAGTCCAAGCCAAACTCCATCTGCTCCCGCTAGACGGCTCTATATCCCGGATCTCGGGGTGACGTGCAGTCCCCGCCCACCAGTTCCGAGGGGAGCTTTGGGAATCTGGAAATCTACAAACCCAAAGGCGGTCATCAACCCTACTCAATCCCAGAGCGGAGTAACCACTGCACCGTGAAAATTTAAGAACACATTTCAGACTAGGTGCTTCTACGAAAGGCAAGCTAGCTTACCTGGATTCTCTAATCCAGCTTTTTAACGACAACTCCCAGAGCGGCATGTTTTCCAGTTACTTGTAAGAATGAATGACATGAAAAGACTAGGAAGACTCAATTCAAATGAGAACAGAAACACAGAGATAAAACGAACGTGAATTATGTGTTCACTCGGCAGGCATTTTTTTTTTTTTTCAAATTAGGAAAATGTGAACCTTGTCTTGATGTCCTCATGGTGAGAGGCGGGGAGGTATCGAAGCAGGGGGGTGATACAAGGAGGGGAGTTTGGAAGAAGCCCCTTCTCACATAATGGGGAGCCCTCAAAGGGCTGCATCTCCCAGGTGAGAGTAAACTGAAGCGAAGGAGCCCACAAGCGAGATTTCGCCTTCAATCTAAACTGCCTTAGTGACCGTGGGCACCACAAGCCTTGGGCGCCATTTGACGCGGTCGCCAACAGCAGGATCCAAGGACTCTTCCCTAAAGAAGGCTGCCTTCTTCAAATTCTACAAATATTATTGCAAACATGACGGTCAATGCTCGGGCTAAGATAACCAGGCGGACAGAAATCACTGACCCCATGAGTGAAAACCGGCAAAAATGACAAGCCATATGATAGACTCAGAAACCGCAATGATCAGACACGCCGTATAACAACCAGGCTTGTTGTGTTTAATAAACAGAGTGATTTACGAACCACAGTGAAGATCCCCAAAGTGAGAAAAGACTGAGCTTATTAGGAGATTAGAACCGAGGTCAGGGTAGTGGAAGTGTAGTGACTCTATGTGTTTGTTTGTATGACTTAGAGTCTGAAGCCTGCCACTTATGTCTCTTCTAAATCCTGGTCCTTCTCCTGCTCAAATACCTCCCATGGCTCCCTCTCGCCCATGGAAAAAAGTCCATCCCTGGGCTCTGGGAGAACCAGCCATCAGCGAGGGAGCCCTGTGGTCAGCCAGAGAGTGCATCAGGCTCCTGGGCTCAGGGACACCACCCGCCCCACCAGCCGGTCCCACCTGCAGGTGCCTGCAGCCCCCGCGCGCCCCCTGCTGGCTCTGGGCGAGGCTCAGGCACAGGTGACAGCCGTTTTATTCCTGGGAGGCTGCACAGGCAGGTGGATTGGTTTGGAGTCTCCCAGACCTGGCCGCGGTGGGTCACTGCAGGTCCCCGCTGAGCGGCTCCACCCGCAGCCAGAGGCCGCCCTCTGCGCGCAGGATCAGCTCCGGCTTCCTGCGCGGCTCCGTGTGGTCGGGCAGGACGCGGAAGCGCAGCAGGGTGAGCGCCAGGACCACCTTCATCTCGGTCATGGCGAAGGTCTGCCCGATGCAGTTCCTGGGGGAGGACGGAGGTGGGGACGGTGACGGCACCCAGGACCCCATCGGGGCCCCAACGTGCCTGCATCCTGTGCCAGGACCCCCACCCCACCTGGCTCAATTTGAGAACAAGACAGGAGGGTAAGCTTCCGTGGGACCCCCACGTGGTCTTGCATGGCCCCGTCTCAAGCCCCTAATGCCGACCGGCGGGCCGAGGAGTGGACTCTGAGCACCCCCTTGTTCCTGGGCTCTTATTTAAACCCCTGAGATACACCACCCCACAGTAAACTCTCTCACCAGGTTGCCCCCAGGTTTACCACCCTCACCCCCTCCCGCCTCGGACCCCCGCAGGCCTCACCTGGGCCCCGCCGAGAAGGGAATAAACGCCAGGGGTGAGCTGTTCTGGGGGTTTTCTGGGTCGAAGCGGAAGGGCTCATAGACCTGGGGACCCGGGAAGACAGGGCTGCTGGATGGGGAGTCTCAGGACACCCAGCCTCCCCCAGGAAAGACAGATGTGGGCACAGTACAGGGGGTGTCTGTGTCCCCGGTCAGGACCCCTCCCCCTCACCAGGCCCCAGGGGGGAGAAGGGGGGAGGGGCAGCACCTCAGGGTTGGACCAGACTGACGGGTTGTGATGAATCCCAAAGATGCTGATAGTACAGACATTCCCTGTCGGGAGGAGGGGACAGTCAGGACAAGGTCCAAGCTGCCTGAAGGGGCCACCTCCCCACCCAGGAGCCGCCTCCCCCTGCCACGGTGGGCACCTTTGGGGATGACCCGGCCATCGGGGAGCACAATGTCCTTGGTGCAGCTGCGGGAGACGCCAGGGACCGGGGGGTGCAGCCGCAGACTCTCCTTGATGCACATGGTGAGGAAGGGCAGCTGGGCCAGGTCCTCCCTGAGGAGCACCCCCAGCGGTCATCCAGGGAGCAAGCACAGCCCTGCTGCTGCCCCGAGACTCCCTTCCACCTCCTCCCTCCGACCCTGAGTCAGGCAACAAAATTGACTCCAGAGGAATCAAGGATGTTAGCGTCAGAAAATCAAACTCACAAAAGCACTAGAAGAAAACTTGGCCTCTACTTTTCCAAGCATTTTTGAGCAAAACCCAACACTCAGAGGGTATCCTAAAAAATGTTAATATATTGGCATGAAAAACTTTTTAAATGTTTATAATCGGCTAATAAAAGCAAAAAAAAAAAAATCTCCTAACGTCCTTATAAGGTTATTTTGATGGATAAGATCCACTCCACACTGTAGGATGAAATTATTTAATATTTTAAAGGTGTCAATTATTTCTAAATTAATCAACATATTCAGTCAATGCAATCCAAAAAAAATCTAAGTAGATTTTTTTCTTAATGTGTCAGTCCTATTGGAAGTTCATCAGGATTAAGTCAATTTTAAAATAAAGGTCAAAGAAGGGGCATGCAATCAACCAGATATTAAGACTTATTAAAAAAAACTGTGGTACTTCTGCAAAAAGATAAACACAGACCCATGAAACAGAGTAGAGAGCTTGGAGTCAGGCACATGAACAGGTGAAAACTTGGCATCAGGTGAAGTAAAGTCCACACACTCCTGGGAAATGGATAGTTTGGTGGAAGGTGTTCAGATCACCAGAGATGTGCAAACAGAAAGAATCAGATCCTTGACCACTCCATGTACAGGTGGAGTCTCTTACTCAGCAAAGAAGCTAAAACTCTAAAGTTAAAAGAAGATAACCTAATTGACATTTTTGTCACTTACGAGTAAGAATCCTTAAAACCCCAAAGGCAGAAGTTGGAAGATTTTTAAGAAAGGATAAATATGCATGAAATTTAAGGATTTTTGTGTAATAAAAGACAGCATGGACCAAATTAACATTCAGATGAGAGATTCAGAGATGTCTACAATAACTACATAGATCTAGAACAACACCTTGAATATGTAAGGAATGTTTGCAAATCAACAGGGAAAGACAGGTGACCCAAGAGAAATGTCAACAAAGAATATGATCTAAGAATTCATGGAAGCTCAAACACAAGAGATTTAAGAAGAGATGCTCGAAGTCACTAGTTATCAGAGAAACAGAAGTTATCTAACAATGAGATGTCACTTCGCATCTATTTGAGATAAGAATTAGGCCAGGCACAGTGGCTCACACCTGTAACCCTAGCACTGTGGGAGGCCAAGGTGGGAGGATCGCTTGAGGCCAGGAGTTCGAAACCAGCCTGAGCAAGAAAGCAAGACCCTGTCTTTACTAAAAAAAAAGAAAAATTAACTGGTCATGGTGGTGGCTTGCACCTGTACTCCCAGCTACTCGGGAGGCTGAGGCAGGAGGATTACTTGAGCCCCGGAGTTGGAGGCTGCAGTGAGCTATCATGATGCCACTGCACTCTAGCCTGGGTGACAGAGAGAGACCTTGGCTCAAAAAAAAAAAAAGGGGGGGAAGGGGGATTAACAAAATGGGTAACGCTACGTATTGGCTGAGGTTTGGTTGGGGCAGAGGGGTTTCATGCATGTATAATGGCATGGACAGGGGCTGCCATTCTGGGTGGCAACCGCCAGTACACAGTCAAAGAAAGACAATGCGTGTTTTATGACCAAGCAAGCTGGCTCCCAAGCACAGACCTCAGAGAGATTCTTTGACAGGTAGATAACGACACATGTACAAAGATGGTCGTTGCTCTGGAGAGAAGGAAGCAGCCCAGGATCCCACTAAGGGATGAGAGAGAAAAGGACTATATGAAGAAAAGGGACATGCAATCCACCAGATATTATATGTATATATATATATTTTTTTTTTTTTTTGAGACAGAGTTTCGCTTTGTTGCCCAGGCTAGAGTGAGTGCCGTGGCGTCAGCCTCGCTCACAGCAACCTCAAACTCCTGGGCTCAAGCAATCCTCCTGCCTCAGCCTCCCGAGTAGCTGGGACTACAGGCATGCGCCACCATGCCCGGCTCATTTTTTCTATATATATTAGTTGGCCAATTAATTTCTTTCTATTTATAGTAGAGACGGGGTCTTGCTCTTGCTCAGGCTGGTTTCAAACTCCTGACCTCAAGCAATCCTCCCGCCTCAGCCTCCCAGAGTGCTGGGATTACAGGCGTGAGCCACCGCGCCCGGCCAATACTTATATATATATATATATTTAAAAAACTGTGGTACTTCTGCAAAAAAAGAAACACAGACCCATGAAACAGGACAAAAAGCAATAAACGAAATAATGGGCTCAGAACTGTGCATGGCCGAGAAAATCACAGCGCTCCATTTCTGAAAAAGGTAAGAGCCAGCAGAAGATCTGTGATATTCTGCAACATATTTGGAATTTTAAAATACATCCACCCCAACAACAAAAAACTTAAAAATAAAAGGATTCATCTTTCTGGAATCTCATATTGGAAGTGGAGAATTGGCATGAATCGGAAGAAATAAGTATTGCATGAAAAAAAAAAATGATGAGAACTTGCCATGAATTGGGAAACGTGATTAACTCAACCATTGGCACCTGCATCCAAAAGGTCAATTAATTACGATGTTAAAGAGTATTTTTCAAACTAGCCAACCTGATCATAGAAATCAAATGGAAAAAATAAGAACTCAAAACAATTGCAAGGCAAAGTAATGAGACAGAATCTACTTTACCAATATGAAAGTTTTTAAAAGTAAGATAATGAAGACTTCTTCATGCTTATGTATGATTATGTAAATTAATGTAAAAGACTATAGATGATAAACCCAAATATATAAGTACATTTAGCTTATTTTAAATCTGCTACTTAAATCTACTATTATTTAAAGCCATGAGACAATGGTCAGGTGTTGTGGCTCACGCCTGTAATCCTAGCACTTTGGGAGGCCGAAGGCGGGTGGATCATTTGAGCTCAGGAGTTCAAGACCAGCCTGAGTAAGAACGAGACCCCGTCTCTACCCAAAATAGAAAAAATTAGCCTGCCATGGTGGCGCATGCCTGTAGTCCCAGCTACTCGGGAGGCTGAGACAGAAGGATCGCTTAAGCCCAGGAGTCTGAGGTTGCTGTGAGCGAGGCTGACGCCACGGCACTCACTCTAGCCTGGGCAACAAAGTGAGACTCTGTCTCAAAAAAAAAAAAATTTAAATTAAAAAAATAAAAATAAAAAATAAAGTCATGAGACAACTACAAAATGTTCGTTAAATTCTGTGGGATAATTAGACATTTGGAAAAAAATAGATTTCATAGGAAAAAGTGCTAAATACAAAACTATTAATAAAATATTACCTAAATAAAATATTTTTGAAATAAATAAACACATTAGAGAAAAACAAACAAGAGTTTTATGTTTTAATCTTAGAGTGGTAAGGGATTTTCCAAGAATGATTTTTAAACACAAAAACAAAAGCTGTAAAAGAAAGTATTAGTAACTTTGAATACAGATAAATAAATAACATGAAAATTAGTGAACAAAACCAAAAATAAAATCAAAGATAACATGATAAATAATTATGTATAACAAAAAAGAACTTTCATATGCAAACAGTTTTTAGAAATCAATTAAAAACTAGAAAAATGCAAAGTAAAGAGAACAAATTATGCAAAAACTGACACATCACAAAAAATGAAATGTGCGTGTCTGATCAACTAGTGAAAATAATGCTCAACATTGCCCATTTTTAAAGTGATGTTCATTAAAATAACAAAGTATTATATTGCACCTGTTAGACCAGCAAATGTTTTGAAGTTTCACAATGCACACTACTGGGGAGGACAGGGGAAATTGGCATTCTCAAAATCCTCACATAGGAGCGGATTTTGGCGAGAGCTATTAAATTATAAAACTCAACCGGGCTTTGATTCAGCGATGGCACTTCTAGGAAGTGTACAGACCCTGTTTCTGGGCTGTATTCCTATTGCCACTAGGCAATAGTGCAGAATAAAAGGGAAAAAAAAAAAACACTTCCCCTTCCCCACCCGGCAGCAGAGCCAAGGACAGGGGCTCGGGGACAGGCCGTGAGGACCCGCACTCACCACTCAATCTCTGCGGGCTCACGGCCCCTCAGCAGCTCCCGCACCTCCTGCCGGCAGCGCTCCTGGTGTTCCGGGTGCCTCGCGAGGTTGTACAGGACCCAGGAGAGACCACTGGCCGTGGTGTCGTGGCCTGAGGGGCCAGAAGGTGGACCTGGGTCTCTGACCCGCTTCAGCACCAGAGGGGTGGACAGCGCCCTTGCATGTTGGCTCTCAGGGAGGGTGGGAGGATGGAGTGATCGGGGTCCACCCACTGCACCCCTGGCCTGGAGAGACCCCTGTCCCCACCGTAGTCCCCACACCGGGACCCTCACCCCCAAACATGAAGGTGTCAGCCTCTGCTCGTATGTCCTCATCTGACAGCTCCTTCCCATCTTCATCCTGGAGACAGGAGGCAAAACCCCCGGGTCACACCTGCTCTGAGGGCACCTGAGCCCCACCGGAAACACCCCTGAAGACCCATCGTCCAAGCAGGATGCCGCCCTTGCCATCTCCAGACCTGCCACACGGGCTTCCTCCCTGGCCTCCCGCCTCCTGCTTTCCTCCCCCTAAGGCAGACTTCTACAGAGTCACCTCAAAAATTTATCTGACTTGTCCCTCCCTTCCTCAGGCACCATACATAGCTCCCCAGTGCCCTCTGAATTAAGTCCAAGTTCATGGACCTGACATTGGACATCAGTGTCTAGTCCGGCTCTGGAATCCGGGTCCCAGAGAGGCCCACCTTGGCCAGCAGGAGCACATCGATGAAGTCCAACGTCTTGGACTTGGCCTTGGCTTTGAGGAAGCCGTCCACACCCTGGCTCTCGAGGGCGCGGCGCCGCTCGCGGACCACGGCGTCCGTGAAGCCGTGCACCAGGGCGCAGGCCCTGCGGAAGCGCCGCCCGTCGGGCGTGAGGTGGTACAGGAGGTCCGCGTGCAGGAGGAGTTGCCGATTTCTTTTCACGATGAGCGCGCTGAGCTCTGAGATGGCTGCGATGTACTCGCTGGGGCGCCTGCAGGGCGGGGGGAAAGAGAGGAGGCGGCTCCTTAACTCACGTGCATCCCTGGGAGCACCTCCCGGCCGGCCGCAGCCCCAGGGCCACGGTCCCTCCAGGAGACGGAGCCGCCAGGCCCACGCTCTCCCGGCCCCCACGCTCTGCCAGCTCCTCGCGCCGGGGTCCCCGGGGCAGAGCTTGGGCGTCGTGCTCGTTTTCTCTCTTTCTTACGCAGCATCTGCTCCTACCTACGCTTCCTCAGTTTCTCTGAAAGCTGCTCCACTTTCTCCAACAAGCTCAGACCTCCTTTCCAGGTCCCTCCATTTCCTGTGTCTACACTACAGTCAATCCTCCTCGGAGCCAAAAAGTCCAAGCTCAGCTCTGACCAAGACTCTTCTGTGCTCAGACACCTTCCATGGCTCCCTAGGAACCTCGGATAAAGTTCATAGCCCTCCGCCTGGCTTTTCCATGTGCTTGAGATCTAACCAATGCGGACCCTTCCACCCTCGCTGCCGAGGTGTCTCTTTAAAGCCTGTTGCGCGTGCCCTGCGTGCCCTAGCCGCCTTGCCTGGATGCACAGTTCCACCTACCTGGAAGAACGGCTCTTTCTCTCTCCCTGTCCCTGTCCTTCAATGCCCAGCTATGAGCCACCTACTCCAGAAAGGCTTTCTAACTGCACTGGTCAGGACTTCCTCCTCCACCTACCCCCTTGGGTCCATGCCCAAGTCCCCACGCCCCGGGCAAGGACTCACTCCTGGCAGTGGCTGTCGAAGCCAAAGACGCATTTCTGCAGACTGTCCAAGGTCATGAGGCTGATGTGCTCGAACATGTCCAGATGGGCGCTGCCCTCTGAGGCCAGGCGCTGCCACTTGGCCTGGCCAGAGAAGGGCACAGAGCTGGGGTTAAGCCCTGGCTCCCCTGAGCCCCTCCCCAACCCCAACCACCAGGATGGACTCCCCCAGAACCAGCCTCCTGGCCTCTGCCCCGGGCACCCACCCCGAGGGAAGACCAGAGTCAGGTGGGAGAGGAAGCTGTTACTCTTAGGAGATGAAGACCCCAAGGCTGGGAGTCAGGACCTGAGCTCAAGTTCCAGCCCTGCCCCCCCCCCCCGTGCCTGTCCTCCCCCTGCCGTCCCCTGCCGTTCCAGCCCTGCCCCCCCCCCCCGTGCTCTGAGCGCCCTCGGCCAGCTCACTGCCCTCGCCCCGTCCCGCCTGTCACATCTTTAGAAACAGTCAGAACAGCTGGCCTGCTTCGTTACCAGTTAAACCAAGCCCTGTTCCACCACGCCCAGCTCGCTACTAGCTGGGTGACCTTGGGCAAGCTCCCCGACCTCTCTGAGCCTCAGTTTCCTCATAGATAATGTGGCCATCACAGTCATCTCTACCTCCTGGGGCTGTGAAAATTAGATCAGAGACAACGCGTATCATGGAATCTGCACACAGCCTTGTTTCTGGCGTATGGGGAGTGCTCAGTGAATGTTGCCTTTCCTCATGTTTATAGATTCCAAAACTATCCCTATGGTGGGACAGGCACTTCCTCCCTGGACCCTGGGCCCTGGGCCCTGGGTATCCTTGCTGGGCATGCCCAGAGTGCAAAGCCCCAGTGTTCTCCACCTGGGCCATTTCTTAGACTTGTGTTTGCAGAGAACAACCTTGAGGGGTAAGGTCATGACTCCCTCTAAATCCGTATCAGGTTTGCTTCCGCTTGCCACAAAAGCAGGCTCCCTGAATCCAATGCCCCTCCTCTTTAATGCAATATACCGCATGAGCAGGCACCTGTAAAGCCCGCCTGTTAACCCGATGGGATTCGTGTGGCTTAGCGACAAGTGCAAACGAACAAGAAGCACATGCTGATTGCTGCAGCATGATCATAAACTGCCCTTTCTCTCTGACCCCAGAGCGTGGTGTCATTTAGGAGGATCCATGTAACAGTCACAAGGTAGCTTCTCCACTTGCCAGTAAAAAAAAAAAAAAAAAAAAAAAAATCGTAGGCACTTTGCAAAAACCTAAACCCCAGTTCTCCGCTTCTCCCTGTGCCCTTTGCGATGTGATTTTCCAACAATCCTGCAAGACGTGGAGCCTGTGCTAGCCCACGTTGATTCTGTGATGGCTTTTGCCAGCCAGGACACTGCACTAAAAATGATGAGATAATAATTAATAAACCTAAGACCCAGCAGGCATTGCAGCCTCCTCTCAGTGTCTTGGAGCCCTGTCCCTGCCATGGGGACAGCCGGGGACCCCTGCAGGAGGGAGAGAGTCGCGTGGGGGAGAGTCCAGTGTCCCCGCTGACGCCATCCTAGATCAGCCGGATGCCGGCCGAGCCCACACAGGGGAGAGACTGAGCCAGGATCAGCAAAGCTGCCACCTGACCCGCAGCTGGTCACACAGCCCGAGTGACCCTCCCACACCCACACGAACCAGCCCTCTGTCCCGTGGACATGTTAGCCGTCATGAACCCTTGCTGCTTTAAACTAACGAGTTTGGAAGTGGTTTATGTGCAGCAATAGCTACTGTGCAATCTTTGTCATTGAACTCTTTTTTTCTTTTGAGACAGAGTCTCACTCTGTCGCCTGGGCTAGAGTGCCGTGGTGTCAGCCTCGCTCACAGCAACCTCCAACTCCTGGGCTCAAGCGATCCTCCTGCCTCAGCCTCCCGAGTAGCTGGGACTACAGGCATGCGCTGCCGTGTCCAGCTAATTTTTTTTCTATATATATATTTTTTAGTTGTCCTGCTAATTTCTTTCTATTTTTAGTAGAGACGGGGTCTCGCTCTTGCTCAGGCTGGTTTCAAACTCCTGACCCTGAGCGATCCTCCCGCCTCGGCCTCCCAGAGTGCTAGCATTACAGGCGTGAGCCACCGCGCCCGGCCTGTCATTGTCTCTTGAGCTCACAGGGCTTGTGCGATGGAAACATAGAAACTGACGCTGTCTGAGCACCTACTATGTGCCCGGGACAGGACTCCATGACATCATCTTGACCTTTTAAGTAGGGATTATTATACCCATTTTATAGATGAGGAAACCACGACTTGGAGAGAAAGAGCAATGGCCCCTGAGACACCCAGCAGAGCCAAAACTCCAGATCAGACCTGTCTGAGGCCCCTCCACCTTTCCAGAGGTTTCCGCTGGGACCCTGGGGGGTCAAGGGACTCACGTGCATGATGTTTATGCTCTTGTTGAAAATCTTCACGTAGGGCTTCAGGATGTTGAAGTGGAAGGCGGGCGTCAGCATGCGGCGGTGGCGGCTCCACTTGTCACCGGCGCTTAGCAGGATCCCGTCCCCTAGGAGGGCAGCCAAGGGCCGTGGGCAAGGGAAGTGCCTTCTCCCGCCCCCACCAGGCCGTCCCCACCCCTGTTCACCTGCAGCTACTCACCCAGCCAGGGCTTGAGGAAGCTGTAGAAGACCACGTTCTTGGGTGCGACGGCAGCTGACATGAACGAGGACCATCAGGGGACATGAAGGGGGGAGGGGAGGGCTTGAGGGGGTGGAGGCTCCCGGCCAGGGGTTTGCACTGCCCCCCTCCAAGCCCAGCATAGCAGGGAGGGGGCCAAGGACAGAGGAAGCAGTAAGGACGGGGTGGGGGGAGGGGACCAGACCAGGCCACAGAAGCACAGTAGAGTGGTGACACAGCCTAACATGGCACAACATGCTCCATCATGCCTTGACATGGCTCCTACATGGTCCACCGTGTTTTGCAATACTTGAGCATAGCTCAAAGCTCAACAAAGTGCCTTCAGAGGGACCTAGGACCCCCTGTCTGCCCCAGAGCCCTCTGACTTCCTACATGCACCTGGGGCGTGTGGCGTGGCCCTCACATGTGCTGACACGTCCTGACATGACTACTAAATACATGACTACCCCTAGCATGACACTAGATGCTCTAACATGACCTTGGTGTGCTCCACAGACAGGCCCCAGATAGGACTTAAATAGGGTCCCTTTAATGTCCCAGACTTGGGCCAGGTGTGACCCAGACTGTCCCTCAGTCACGACAAGAGCATACCTTCCGCCAGCCACCTGCCCTCCCCGTGGCTCTGGGCCTGGAGACCGAGAAGGCTGATGCCAGCCCTGGCGGGAGGCCGTGGGTACTCACGAAGCCCAATGCACCGCCCTGCCTCTTGCTTTAAGCAATTAATTCCTACTCTTCATGTCAGACGCAGCTCTGGCAACTCCTCCTCCAGGAAGCCCTCCAGCCTGCCCCAGCAGTGACCTTGTTTCTCCATCGAGCCGTCACGGGCATCTCCCTCTGGCCCTGGCCTGACCACTCGAGGTTGGGGATGCCTCTGTCCAGATGCATCTCCTCTAGCTTGGGGGTTCCTCCAAGACACGGCCCCCGAGTTTAGGCCTCTTGGGGCTCCAGTGGTGCCCAAAACACCAGGTGGGGGGTGGCAGACGGCAGAGGCGGGGAGGAGACACCGAGGTGGGGGCTTGGGGGGTCACATGCAGGGAGGAGGAAGGTGGCTGCAGGAGCAGAAGGAGGGAGGGACCCGGGTCCTGCAGGGGCCACACAGCAGCTCGGGGCAGGAGGGGCTGGAGGCCCTCGGACACCCACCACCACGAGCCCCGCAGGGTACCTGAGGCGCTGAGGACAGACCGGACGAAGTCGGGGTGGCACAAAGTGATCAGGGGAAAGACGGGGCCCAGCCACCGCTTAAAGACCCGGGGGTAGGTGGCCACCAGCTCAGTCACTTCCCTCAACCCTTCCTCCGTGGGGGGCACCTGCAAGCAAGGCAGGGCCGTCACCGCCCGCGACGGCTAATTTCAGGTGCCACCGTGACTGGGCTGAGGGCTGCACAGACAGCCGGCGAGCTTTATTTGTGGGTGTGTGTGTCTGTGTGAGAGTTTCCAGCAGAGATCAGCGTTTGCGTTGGTAAACCGAGGAAGGAAGATCCACCCTCCCCGGCGCGGGCAGGCACCCTCCAGGCCACTGGGGGCCCAGAAAGGCGGAGGAGGGGGCTCGACTCTGTCTTCCGGAGCTGGGACATCCATCCGCCTTCTCCACCCCTGGACGTGGGAACTCCAGCCGCTTGGGGCCCCTGGACGGGACCGAGTGGCAGCTCCGGCGCCCGGTCTCCAGCCCACGGGCGGGATGCCGCGATGGAACCTCTAGCCCCCGACAAATGCGTGAGCCGATCCTCGTGGGGAATTTCCTCTTCTCTAGCAGATAGGCAGGTGGATGAGGGATGGCTGGACGGACAGGGAGATCCGGCCTGTTGGTTCTGGGTCTGTGCAGAGCATTGGCACGCCCGGATTCTGCGCAGGGGGAGGGGGGTCTCTGCTTCCTCCCGCCCCGTCTCTCTCGGGGCGTCTCAGAGTCGCCCCCGGGAGCGTTTCAGGGCGGAGGGAGAAGACACGACACCTGCTCCCAGGCTTCGGCTCCAGAGGAAGCATTTTCTCCTCCCGGGAGTGGCCCCACCCCAGGGCAGCCACATGGGCAGTTTGCAGGCAGCCGTGTGGCCTCAGAGCGTGGCCTGGGGCTGCTTCCAGCCGCAGAGGTGACAGCCTCTCTTGAGGAGAAGGGTCTGCACCCTTGGGACCTTCCAGCCTCGGCTGACCGCAGAGGGGCGGACGGACAGGAGCTCTGACTGCCCATGGGGTCCCTGGCTCCCTCCCTCGAGCGCCTTCTGCAGCCCAGGCTCTGAGCGCAGCGTGTCCCCCGCACCCTCCCTAAGGACACCCGTCGCCGTCGCCCCTGCCGTTACAGGTGAGCAGGCTGAGGCCTCAGCACCCGCAGGACAAAGCAGGTCCCGGTCAGAGGGCAGGGGTGGGAGGGGCAGTGGCGGCTCCCGGGCGACAGTCGTGCAGGTTGCACATCAGGGCCCGCTGGGACGTCCCCGTGGGGAAGAGCCGGGGGAGAGGACGGTGCCCAGGAAGGGCAGGGGTGGGACACTGTCCCCAGCTGTCTTCCGGCCCAGAGGTGGCCCTGTGTGTTTGGGGTGGGCTGGGGCGTCCCAGCTAATCCCTGCGGGAAGCGGCAGCCCAGAGACACAGGACAGGGCCGGCAGGGACAGACCCTGCACGGTGCCCTCAGGAGCCCTCCAGCCCCGCCGTGCAGAACGGGGCACCAGGGCCCTGCCCTGTGCAGCCTCCCCGTGAGCCCCCCGGTGCCCCAGGGGGGAGACAGGCGGGAAGAGGACGCTGAGCAGGCCAGGTGGGAGGACAGGGAGGGGACAGAGGCTGGATGGCACAGCAGAGCAGCGAGGCAGTGAGCCGTCCCGACCCCAGCCCACCTCTGCCCCTGGCCCCCCCAGCTCCTTCCCCACCCTGGGGACGTCCCCCGCCCTGACCCCCAGCCCCGTCCTGCTGCCACACTCACCAGGCCCAGGTGCCCCCAGAACCAGTTCCTTATCGGGGGCTGCGGGAAGCAGCGGAGGCGGCGGCAGGTGGCGTGGAAGGCGCAGGCCCAGGCCAGGACGCGGGCCAGGAGCCAGGAGGCCCCGAGCAGCAGCAGCAGCAGCCACGGGGAGGCGGCCGCCGGCCCCAGGCCCAGCCAGGACAGGCTCAGCTGGGGCATCCTGCAGGGCAGGCGGGTGCAGGGGCAGCTCCTGAGGCCCAGGGGAGGGAAGGGGCGCCAGGCCCGGTGCAGGGGTTCAAGGGCGGGGGAGGGCTCAGAGATGGGGATGCAGGGGCTGAGAGCAGGGAGGGACACCCTGGGTCAACTGGGGAAGAGGCAAAGTGAGAGGGAGAAGAAAAGGAAGAGGACGGGGAGGAGGAGGGGGAGGAGAAGGAGGAAGAGGAGGAGGAGGAAGAGGAGGAGAGAGCAAGCTGATTCCAGTTTAGAAAGGCGAAGCTGAATCACGGGGAGGTTGCCAGGGGCTCAGTTACTGGGAAACCACCAGTCCCCTGGGCTGGCAGCCTGGAGCCGCCCCAGCCTCGGGCAGTCCCCTCCCCAACCCGGGCCAGGACCCCCCAGCCCCACCCCCCAGCCGGGCACCGTGTCCCAGGGGCAGCTTGTCCACACAGCCTGCTCTGCCCCCACGTTGGGGAGTCTTTGCCCTGGCCCCTATCTAGGGAACGCCTCGGGAGGCTGAGTGGGCTGACCCTGGCTGCCTCCTCCGTGCCCGGGCGGGCGGCCAAAACCCCGGGGTGCGGGGAGCGCTAGGTGCAGAGCAACCAGCTCAGGGGGCCTGGCACAGACACTGCATCCCCGGGACTCAGCACCTCCCACGTGGGGTGGAATGCGTTGGGCAGGTAAAGGTGCCTCTGAACCCCACGTTTGCAGGAATCCCGCCCTTGCCAGAGCGCGGCGGGCGAAAGCATGAACGGGAGAGGTCGGGTGCCAGGTGAGAGGGGCCAGGCCGGCCCGTCCCTGAGCACCTCCTGAGCTCCTGCCCCAGTGTGGGCCGGGCGATCCTCATGCACCATTTCTCCGTGCAGAAGGAGGCTCAGGGACCAAAGCCTCGATCGCGGCCACACAGCCTGCAGGGCGCTTCAGTCCTGCACCGGCAAGCCCCGGGCCTGGCGGCAGACTTAACCGCTAGGAGCAGGAACAAAGAATCCGGCCTCGCTGGGCTTGCTTCCCCGGGTGGGATTCCGGCAACGAAGGGCCCACCTGGAAGGGCAAACCCGGAGGCCGGGCTCAGCGTCCGAGGACAGAGGGGAGGCACCAGGGTAGGGCTGAGAGTGGCCGTGGGCACACGGGGTCCAGGCAGGGAGGGCAGAGCCAGGGGACCCTGAGTGGAGTCCCCGTGCTGCCCTGTCCTTGCTCTGACTGTGGGCGGGGCCGGCCAGCTGGGCTCAGTCTCCCCATCTGGGAAATGGGGTGTCAGAGGAGGTCCTCAGTGGGGGACAGAGGAGGGCTCCAGAGAGGAGGGAGGCCCAAAAAGAGGGGGTGAAGGGAAGGGACTAAGCACTAGCACTTGAGCTTCTACAGGCCAGTGCTCTGCTCTGTGCAAGACTGTGCCACTGTGTACTTCCACCGTGCGCCAATGCTATCCATAAAGTGGGCCTCCTGTGTGCGAGGCTCACTATGCAAAGTGCACCTACTGTGTGCCAAGTGCTGTCTGTTAAGTGTGCCTACTGTGTGCCAGGTGCTCTATATAAATGCTGTATACAGAGCGCCTGGTATTCTACATAAAGCATGCCCACTCTGTATGCTGGGCACAAAAAGCATGCCTACTGTGTGCCCGGTGCCCTATGTCAAGCATACCTATTGTGTGCTGGGTACTCTGTATAAAGTGTACTCACTGTGTGCCAGGTACTGTACATAACACGTGCCTACTGTGTGTCGGGTGCTCTACATAAAATCTCCTTCTGTGCGTCCTGTGCTCTACATAAAATCAACCTACTCTGTGCAAAGTACTTGAGGTGAAGCATGCCTACTGTGTGCCAGCTATGCTAAATCAAATTCATCTACTTTGTGCCAGGCATGCCACATAATATGCACCCGCTGTGTGCCAAATACTCTAAAGTGTGCCTACTGCGTGCCAAGCGCTCGGCATAAAGTGCACCTACTGCGTGCCAGGTGCTCTATGCAAAGTTCACCTGCTTCGTGTCAGTGCTCGCCTGCGTCACACTGCCAAGCCTTCCCGCCGCCCTCCCCTCAGCTCTCCGGGCCAGAGCCCCGCCGATCGGTGGAGAGACCCAAGTGACAGCATCCAGAGGAGGGAAGATGCCCATTCAACAGAAGAAAACACTGAGGCTCAGAGAGGGCGAGCCTCTAGCCACGCTGCAGAGCTCAGGGGAGCCGAGGTCTATCAGACCATCAGGCCCAAACCCTGTCCCTCGGCCGCGCTGTTGCATCACCCCTCGTGGCAGCCAAAGCCCTGCTGATCCGGAGACATTCATAATGGTGGAATCTCAGGTGATGCGTTGGCCCCAGAGGGGACATATCCTGAGGCCCCTGTGTCACCACCTGCCTCCTCCTCCCACGGCCTGGGCGCTCCACCCAGGAATCCCGTGCTCCCTCCGGGGCCTCCCCCGATCCTGTGCAGACCTGCCCTGTGGGTGGTCTCAGGTGAGGGAGGGGGACGGTTCTCCTGACGTGGGCGCAACGAGGAGCCCAAACCTCCCCCTGCCCCGCCACCCCTGCCGCGTCCAGCTCGACCGGCCGGAGGACTCGGGAAGCTGGTCCCAGCGCACCCGGCGGGCGGGGTGACCTCATCCCCTCCCCCGCACCGAGGGAGCCCCTTCCTGCTGGGAGCCCCACCCACGCCAAGGTCAGGGGGCAAATCCAGAGTGTGGCAGACCGGGCAGGGCCCTGGAGACGCACAGGAAAGAGCCCCCGGGGGCCAGAGGGGCTCAGCTCACTGCGGACCTACTATGTGCCCAGGGTGGGCAGGCAGCCTAGAGCAGGGACGGCGGCCACCGCCCTCTGCCAGCACAAGTGGCCGAGCCTGAGCCCTTTAAGCATATTAACCATTGTTCTTTTATTCTACAAACGAGGAATCGATCCCGAGAAATACTTAGGTGACCGCCCACAGTCGCACGGCTGGGGAGCCAGCGGCGCCCCTCCCCCCCCAAGCCCCTTCAGGGCTACAAACGGGCGTTTCCGCAGCGCCCGCCTCCCAGGACCATGTGGCAATCGCAGGGGACGGCGAGGGTGGACACACGAGGCAGAGTCAGGGTTCGGTCGGCGCTTCTCATCGCCGTCGCCTGGCCGTCCCGCAGCCCTGCGGGGTCACCCCCCTGCGCCCCTCCTTACAGAAGAGGAGTCCGGGGTTCACAGCGGGGAAGCTGCCCGCTCCAGTCCCACAGCCGGTTAGGCAAGCGTGAGGCACAGGCGACAGCCAAGCCTGGCATGTGAGAGGTGCTTAGTGAACATGTAGAGAGGGAAAAGGCTTGCGGCCAGGAGCGCTAAGTCTCAGCGACCCGAAGTGCGGCCCACAGACCTGCCTCATCAGCGCCATTTAAAAGCTTGCAGGAGGCCGGGCGCGGCGGCTCACGCCTGTCATCCCAGCACTCTGGGAGGCCGAGGCGGGCGGATTGCTCGAGGTCAGGAGTTCAAAACCAGCCTGAGCAAGAGCGAGACCCCGTCTCTACTATAAATAGAAAGAAATTAATTGGCCAACTAACATATATATATATAGAAAAAATTAGCCGGGCGTGGTGGCGCATGCCTGTAGTCCCAGCTACTCGGGAGGCTGAGGGCAGGAGGATCGCTTGAGCCCAGGAGTTTGAGGTTGCTGTGAGCTAGGCTGACGCCACGGCACTCACTCTAGCCTGGGCAACAGAGTGAGACTCGGTCTCAAAAAAAAAAAGAAATAAAGCTTGCTGGTGGGCAGATCTTTTGAGCTCAGGAATTTGAGACCAGCCTAAGCAAGAGCGAGACCCCGTCTCTACTATAAATAGAAAAAAAAATTAGCTGGACAACTGAAAATATACAGAAAAAATTAGCCGGATATGGTGGTGCATGCCTGTAGTCCCAGCTACTCGGGAGGCTGAGGCAGGAGGATCGCTTGAGCCCAGGAGTTTGAGGTTGCTGTGAGCTAGGCTGATGCCATGGCACTCTATCCTGGGCAACAGAGTGAGACTCTGTCTCAAAAAAATAAAAAATAAAAGCTTGCAGGAAATTCAAAATCTCATATCCCTGCATGAAAATACTGGCTCAGAATTGCATCTTCATCGGCCCACAGGGGACTGGTGTATACTCCTTCAAGTTTAGGACTTGCTTTTAGATGAGTAGCTTGAGGCTTTGTGACGGTGCTGGGGGGGGGGCCCTCTTAATCTGTCTGAGGCGTGAGGCTTTTTTTAGTTATAAAACAAGGAGGAGAATCCATACCTCTCACGGCCGTCCATGCAACTCTATGTTTATTGAGCATCTACTATGTTGTCGGGCACTGGGGATGCAAAAGGTGGGCACTCTGGTGTCCAAAGGATCACATCTCATGGAGAGACAGGTGATGATCCAGAAAAAATCGTACCATCAAATAAACCAGACAATCGGGGAGGGCTTCCAGGGGGAGGCGACCTTTTAGCAGAGACACGAGTGAGGAGGGAGAACCTCCAAGAGCCGCTGTGGGACGGGGTCCCCAGGCTGTGCAAAAAGGCAAATGAGGAGATCTCGTGGCTTTGGAATCCACGCTAAGATCACCAACATGTGGGACCACACAGTTTGTCCTTGGGAGGGCCAAGGTGAGCAGGAAAGTGTGGACCAATATTGAGCTCTCATTGGCCACGGGGAGGAATGCGTAGCCCCGCAGGACTCCGCGGAGATGGGCAAGGCAGGACTTACGGCGGGACTCCTAAATCTCGGATCTGGTGGGAGGAAGGCATCCCTAAGGGAAAGCTCCCTGCTCCAGGAATTTTTTGCCCGGGGTGGCCGGAGCCTCCCCAAAGGGTCTCTTTATCAACCCGGGAATGTCTCGGGGGTCGAATCGCACCAGGCTGGCTTATGGAATGTCCCCCTGGCAAGCGTTGCAGGGAGAGGAGCCACCCATAGGGAGATGGAGGCCGGTGGTCCTCTCTGGGTGCCCTTCCACCCTCAGCGGGAAAGTGCACAGAATGACCAGCCTCTGGTGCTTCCCATCAACCTCTAAGCCTCAGTCTTCGCATCTGAAAAATGGGCCTCCTCGTACAGCCTCGGGGAGGGTTGCAAAGCATTCTATCAGACACGGGCGGAGAGAGAGCAGGGAAGCCGAAGTTCCAGATGACCTGTTGTGAGCCATGGTCCCGTCTACACGTAAAACTTATGAATGTGTTAAAAAGCTCGACTGTGCCTTCCTGCGCCCCCACGCCACAACGGACACACGCAAGGCTTCCGTGGGCCGCTGTGAGGGGGCGGACGTCCCCCCACCGATGAGCAAGAGATCGGTGCTGCCACGGACACCGCTGGGCGCCCTGGGGTTCTGCAGACAGTGGCAGACCCACAGAGTGAGGGCTCTGAGCCCCCAAGACTGCCACCCCCTTGCAGGCGCCAGACACCAGCCCGGGCTGCCAGAGCTTCCGACC